CCGCGGTCCCGGGTCATGGTTAGACTCATATTTAGAGGTTCTGCTGTGTTGGTTCTAATGTTTCTGTGCTAATACGGGTCGGTTTGGGGCGTTTTACCGATGTTCCCTCGGTCCCGGCTCATGGTTAGACTCATATTTAGAGGTTTTACTGTGTTGGTTCTAATGTTTGGGGTTGGTTTTGTACCGATGTTCCCGCGGTCTCTGGTCATGGTTAAACCCATATTTAGAAGTTTTACTCTGAGTGTTTCTGTGCTAATAGGTGGTCGGTTTGGGGTCGATTTGGGGTCGGTTTGAGGTGGCGTTTTACCGATGGTGCCGCGGTCCCTGGACCCGGTTAGACTCATATTTAGAGGTTCTGCTGTGTCAGTTCTAATGTTTCTGTGCTAATAGCGGCTTTCCCACTTTTGGACCAATAAAGTGTTCTTTTCTATTCTATGTTGAGAGGTTTTTAGGTTTTTGGAACCAGTTCTAGGAATTACAGAGTATTCTGATGGAAGATCTGAACCAACACACCAATATTTAACACAGAACCTGGTTAGACTCATATTCAGAGGTTCTGCTGTGTTGGTTCTAATGTTTGGGGTGGGTTTGGGGTGGTTTTGTACCGATATTCCCGCGGTCTCTGCTCATGGCGGCCGTGGCGTCGCCGTGGCAACTGAAGAAGACGTCGGCGCCCCCGCTGGGCCTCCCGTCAGGGCCGCACTCCAGCAGGATCCGGGCCACGGGCAGCGGGGAGAAGAACTGGGGGGGGGGGGGGGGGGGTGAGCAATAACCATAACCCCAACCATAACCATAACCCAGTGTTTTTCAACCTTTTTTGAGCCAAGGTACAGTTTTTCATTGATAAAATCACACCAACCAAAAATGTCAAACAAATCTGTATCCGCCTATAGTAACACTATAGTTATTCTTATTTTATTCTTATCTTATCTTAAGTGTCTTGAATAGGAATCAAATAAACACAAAAATGTATTTTTATCATATTTTATATTTCTTCTTTCAAATTGCTCTTAACATGTCCACTTCAATATGCAAAATTAAATACAAAATCTAGTCATAAGGAATTATTACATGATTACTCCACCAGTCACTAGAACAGCACACACACTCAGAAATGGAATATTATTTGCAGATAATAATTCCTTATCAAAAAGTCTTTTTAGACCAATTAGGTGAAATAGGACATTAGTGTACCGAGGACCAGGGGTTGAGAAACACTGGCCTAACCCACCGGTCAGCCCATGGGTCAGTACCTTGACCACGTCCTCCCCGCTGGCCTGGAAGGGGATCCCCCGCATGTGGACGTAGTGCTGGGCCCCGACGGGGCTCTGGCCTGGAGGCAAAGGGGGTTAGGTTCAATTTTGAGATTTATTTCTATAGCTCCAAATCCCAACAACAGTTATTCACCTCCCAGCTTTTCCAACCAGAGCAGCTCAGACTGAGTTATTTAGAATAACTCTGAATTATTGTATTGTGTTTCACCCAATTAAAACATATTTTTAATTAAAAAAAAAAAATTAGAAAAAAAAAAAGAAATAAAAAAAGAAAAGATAAATGGTATTTCAGTGATTAGAATTATTGTACTGTGTTTTTTCCAATAAAAATGTTTGGAAAAAAATGTTAAAACAAAAAAGGAAAAGGTAATCTGTATTCTTGTGACTGGAATTTTTTTATTGTGTTTTTCTTAATGAAAAATAATTAGAAAAAAATAAAGAAATAAAAAAAGAAAAGATAAACTGTATTTCAGTTATTAGAATGATTGTATGGTGTTTTTCCCCAATAAAATTATTTAGATTTTTTTTTTTAAGGTAAACTATATTTCTGACTGAAATTGTTATTCTGTGTTTTTCTCAATTAAAAAACATTAGAAAAAAACCCAAAAGAAGACGGCTCTTTTCTGTGTGACGGCATAAGGGTTAGGGTTGTTATTATTATTTTATTAGATATTTCTACAAATAAAATGGTGGTAAATTCCCCCTTGCAGTTTATATATATATTTAAAAAATATATATATATAAAAAAGGTAAAGGTAACCTGTATTTCTGACTGGAATTATTGTACTGTGTTTTTCCCAATAAAAAAATATTTTGAAAAACCAAAAAAAGGAAAAGGTAAACTTTATCTCTGTGACTGGAATTTGTTTGTGTTTAAAATAAAATTAAAATATTTGGAAAAAATAAAAGTAAAAGGTTAACTATTTCCCAATAAAAATAAATATCTAAGAATTTAAAAAAAGGAACAGCTCAACTGTATTTTGGCGACTAGAATTATCGTGCTGTGTTTTTTTTCAATGAAAAAATATTTGAAAAATAAAAAATAAAAAAACCCAAAAGTAGACGGCTCTTTTCTGTGTTTCCCCCCGCTCACCGGGTCTGGTGGTACGGTCCGTTTGGGGGGGGCCGGGGGGGGGGTCCCTCCTCCTCTTCGTGCTGGTCCGGATCTCCTCCGTCCGGCTGGGAAAAACCTCGATGTACCTGAAACACAAACACAAACATCAGCTTAAAAAGGAGAGATTCTGACCCAAAACGAGAAAATCCCCCCTCAGGTTTCTGTCTCTGGGAACTAGGGTTATAACGATACTAAAATGTTCAACTGGATACCGATATTGGCCACTGATCAACAAACTTTTAGGTCGCCGAGCAGTTGATTCGGGGAAACTAACGAGCTAGATGTTCAAACGCCGGTCCAAAATCTTCCTGTTATCGCTTTATTTCATCTTCAGGTATCCAACATTAAAACACGTCACTGAATCAGTTCATAGGCATCCATAATCCACAAACAGTAATCCAGAGTGAACGTTTACAGCAAACTTAATTCGATCAGATCCAAAAGCATAAGGTGTAAAGCATAAAGCGTAAAGCGTAAAGCGTAAAGCGTAAAGCGTAAAGCGTAAAGCGTAAAGCGTAAAGCATAATGTGCAAAGTGCAAAGCATAAGGTGTAAAGTGTAAAGCACAAGATGTAAAGCATAAAGCATATAGCGGTCAGCAAAAAGTAGCTTCCCCCATCACCCACTCACTACTAAACTGTCACCTTGCGAGTGAACAGGTGAGATTTTAAATGCCACCGCCCCCAACACCACCTGACCAATTAGTGCACGTCATCAGTATGGCATGCATACCATAGTGAACCCATTCTATCCACTACAACCGATAATCTGGAAAATACTCGATACTCGATACCATTTTGGATACCACAAGGATAAAAACAAAGACCCCAAAATGTAACTGAATTGTGTCTTTGATTTCAAACTGACCTGTTACTGATGTTATGGCGGCCCACATTAATAACCCTAACCCTAACCCTAACCCTAACCCTAACCCTGACCTTGATCCTAATCCTAACCCTAACCCTAACCCTCCACTCTTCATAATTGTGAGAAATAAATATCTAAAAATCATGAAATATCATACATTCTGGATTCATTACAAATCAACTGAAATATGGCAAGCCTTTTATTGTTTTAATATCGCTGATTATGGCTTACAGCTTAAGAAACCCAAATATCCTATCTCAAAATATTAGAATATCGGATTTTTGAGTTTTCTTCAGCTGAATGCCATAATCAGCTATATTAAAACAATAAAAGGCTTGCGATATTTCAGTTGATTTGTAATGAATCCAGAATGTATGACATTTCATGATTTGTAATTGCATTACAGAAAATAAAGAACTTTATCACCATATTCTAATTTTCTGAGACAGTCCTGTATACTTTTTTGAGTATGGATGCTTTTGACCGCCCTACTGGGACAGGTGAGGGTTAACCCTAACCCTAACCCTAACCCTTACCCTAACCCTAACCCACCCTAACCCTAACCCTAACCCTAACCCTAACCCTAACCCACCTGTGCCCGATCAGGTCCCGGTCCCTCTTCAGGGCCTCGGCGGCGTCCTGTGGGGAGCAGAACCGGACAAAAGCTTCCCCGGAGATCCGGCCTTTAGCGTCCCGCACCATAGTGATCCCGTTTTCTGCTATCTGCAGACCTACAGGGGGTTAACACCATTTATTTAGAGAAATATAGAATAAAATAATATAATATAAAATAATAATATATAATATAAATAATATATTAAAAAAATAATATATAAATAATATATAAAATAATATAATTAAATAAAATAATATAATAATAATAATAATAATAATAATAATAATAATAATA